ACGTGACTTCCGCTGTCGTAACAGTACACTTCATAATTTATTTATTGTTAATACATGAGCAAAAGCAACAGTTGAAGAAGAATTGAAAGAAAGTGACAAACATCGGCAGAAGCAACAGCTAAAAATGAAATGGGAAAAAAGTGGCGACCAGTACAACGTAAATAAAATCAAAGTATTGAAAGAGGATTTTTCGCGTTTTATATAAACTATTAATGAAGATACTAACAAGATACAAGAACTCGACATTTCAGATATTGGTTCCTGGCCACAAAATATGGACAATCGAATACCTTCGTCAAACATGGGCCTAACGGTACTATTTTTCCACCTAATAAAATCTTTGAAAAAAAACAATTTTCAGAGAATAACTATTTTCGTAAAATGAAAAATGAAGAAATTGTACTACGTTCATAGTTGACATATTCTTCAAAACTAGATGTAGCGTTCTGTTGTTCATGTGAATTGTTTGGCGATAAGAGAATGAAATGAAACGGAAGAAATGAAAACTATGGTTGTAACGAATTTTACAATAAATAATAAAGTTAACTTTATTCCTTCTTTTCTGTTACATTAATTAACAGTATTGGTTAGAATGTTTAATATAATTGTTTTCTGATTTAAATTTTAAATTATAAAGAATATTTTATATTGTAAGTTTAGTATATGTATCTAAAACTAGCCTTAACCTGCTAAGTTGGCCGAACATCATTAGATATTATTGGAATTACGACCGAAAATATCTAACAGCTGGGGTAACCAACTGATGAAACAAGGCATCTAATCTTTATAACTAAAAACGCTATATTCATGACTGAATTAATTTTTAGTTCTTATCTAATTGGTTAACTTGTTCTAATCAGAAGTTAATATTAATATGAGTGAAATTGAAATGCTGTTGAAATATGCTTTTTACTGGACTGTTCATAGGTTAAACCAACCCTAGAAATGGGAATTTTTTCAGCTCAAGTGGTATTGATGGCAATGTTTGATCCCGCAATTAAAGAACAATGTACATAGGTTCGTAAAGAACAAAGAAAGTAGTCACTGATCCCTGAAATACAGAATACGCCAACACAAATGCTCTCTAATCCATTCGTTAATGCAACTGTCCTAAAAATTAAACGTATAAAGTATGGTAAAAAGTGTGACGTAACTCATCAAGACCAGTCGTTGGTAGTTTCAAGAACGGCAAATATTGTTGGATTATATTGTGTTGTTTTAAGGATTTTCGCGTAAAGCTACATATAGACTATAACCGCATAATTCATTAGTGGATATAAGCCATAAGTTGAGGAAGGGACAACTGAAAGGGTGCCTTATCCACATTTTGTGGGAGTATTTTATTCTAAAGAAATTACAAAAAATTGCATAAAATCAAATGCTACATAAACTTTTTATTGAATGTAAATTGTTCGCAGTTGTAATGTGTCCCCTCAATTCAAGTGGACATTTGTAACTCCAAAGCTCATGATAAGATATCAGCAATTGTTGACAATGGGCGGTTCTCCCCCCTCGGTCAACATGGCGGAAGTGCACGCAGGATGGTAAACAATTCAAGAAGGATATGTCGCAGCTTTCATGAGAGGGTTACATTTCAGTTTATGTTGTTGTAAGATATCTAAAAACAACAACAGCTTCAAGAAATGTCAACAGGAAGGCAAAGGAGAGGAACTTGTTAGTGGAAAGTGCCAAAAGATGCTGAAACATCTAACCTATACAAAAGCCAGTGTTTCACCTCACGCTTCATTTCTCTTGATTTCTCGAAATAGGATGAGTAATAAAAGCCAAAATGTATTTATCCACATTACGATTTTAGTCACGAGGGCGAAAGGAGGCCTTGCTGTGAAACCTTATAAGTGTAGTGAATGTTGTTATAATAAGCCTAAAGTAAAGACGTAGTGTTGGATCACCTAGCCTAGAGCCAAGTGCATACAATTTATCATGAAAGTAAAAATATCGATTCATTTTTAAACTTAAATCGTTGCTGAATTAAGTTATGTTCTGTAATATCATCAACGTTTCAAAAAAAAAACATTTTTTAATGAACGGAAACTAAATTAAGTAATCAACAAATATTTTCCAGTTTTGTTGTGTATACATATACTAACAACAATATCAGGTTATACTTTTATTACTAAGCAGCATGACATAAGAGCCATTGTTGGAACGTAGTGTTACCAAAACACACTGGCTTTTCTACATATTACAAGATGATAATCTAACTGATTTTACCAGTAATTATTCTACGAATACGCCACGAATTAATTTCATGAATGATCCTAATTTTGATTAGCTCACAAAAGAATTTACCGACGTTTGACTGCCTCGACTGCACTTTTCTGTCTCTTTGTTGGTCAAGCTTGATTTCGCAAAATTTATTTATTTCAGTCAGAAATCAAATGTGAGGTTAGGGTATACTATGGTGTGGGGGTGGTACTTAGTACTTTCCTAATCATTTTTGACATGCTATACGCTAGTGAAGGAATATTTTCAGGTAGGCTTACTTGACAAAGTAATATTTGCACGGCCTTTTTTATTTTCTACCTCTTGTGGTATGTATATTTGGGGTGTTATGAGAGTTTAACAGTGTGCGCTGAAGCAACCCCCTACATCAGCCAGTGGCATACCCTACTAGTTTTTGAATAGCTTACGAAACACAGAATACCGTCCGAAGATTGCTGCGACCTGGATTACGGCGTAAGTAAAAAAGCCAACAAAATGGTGTGCATTAGTTGTTGCAATTATTGTTTGTTTTGAATTTCGCGCAAAGCCACACGAGGGCTATCTGCGCTAGCTGTCCCTAATTTAGCAGTGTAAGACAAAAGGGAAGGCAGCTAGTCATCACCACCCACCGCCAACTCTTGGGCTACTCTTTTACCAACGAATAGTGGGATTGACCGTCACTAAATAACGCCCCCACAGCTGAAATGGCGAGCATGTTTGGTGGGACGGGGATTCGAACCCGTGACCCTCAGATTGTGAGTCGAGTGCCCTAACTACCTGCCCATGCCGTGCCAGTTGCAATTATAAACAAAATGTAATTTTTCAATCGTTATGGCTTGATTAAATCGTAGGAAACTACAACTGAAAATGTAGTCTATTCTGAAGTTTGAATCTTTAGCAGATGAGCCAGTATCATAAACAAAATTCTGATTTATTTAGTAGTTTGTATGCATGCTTGTAAAAATTAAACAAGGCAGGAAACAAATGCAGAGGTCATCTGTGAGAATTGATAATAATAATAATTAATGTTTGTAATTTGATCAATGAAAAATAAAAATAGTTTTGAACGTGCTATGCATGACAAGAATTAAAGAACTGATGGAAGAATTACTAGTTGCTCCAGAATTACTCGTGAAGAACCATTTGGTTAGTCATTGCTGAACAACAACAATTCCTTTTTTTACGATATAATGAACCGTGTTTTAATGATGTTAGTAAATATATTTGATTTGCTCCGTGATTACTTTATTTTTTGCATTCCTGTGTGATGTTAAAGTAATAAAAAGTGTAGGACACAATGCATGAACTTAGCTGTAGTGATATTCTAGGTCGATAGCGCTTAGTCAGATGTGGACGGAGATGATTTGATAGTTTAACTTCAAAGTCAAGCTACATTTCTCCCCGAAACACCCAACGCTCTTGGAACAGTGCATTTTATTTATAACAAATCTTTAGCAGCAGTATACTTCAATGTGATTTGATATTAGAGTACTATTTACAACTCCAGTGACTGTTGAATATGCTAAGAGGAACTGATATTTCAATAAGTGCCTTGATATCAGAGTACTACTTACAGACCCAGTGATTGTTACATCTGTTGATATTAATTAGTGCCTATTAGGCATCGTTCATGTCTCAGAGGCGTCTTTCAGGGTTGACTAAGCTCTCGATCAAACATATTGTTACGTCTCTGTTCGTTTGTTAATTTCTCGTATAATTTCTTTCCGATGAAACTTTAGCGACACAAGTCCTTTCTTAAATAAAACTAGTTTATTCTTTCTCTATACAACTTTGAAATTCACTTAATTTCCACGGTCATGCTATAACTTAAACAAACGCTATAATTCACAACGAACTACACACACGCTCAACCCAACTGTCCGTCTCTATCTCTGTCTGCAATTCAACTGCATTCCATTGTTGCCGTCACTTCTTGGCGGTCTTATATACACGAATTCCGCATATCTAGTAAACACTCGAACATTCATGAACCTTCGAGAATAGGACGTGTTACTAGCGTCACGTGACTTCCGCTGTCGTAACAATATGTTAAAAGAAAGATGAATTTCCAAAAAGAAGTCGAATAATTTGCAACAAAAACATTCAAAAGTAGCCTGTCTCACTTTAGTAGCTACATTCAAAAACACGCAAATGCGATACGTATATATTTCAAGTAGATAAGGTAAATTTCCCACTTTTGTCCCAAACATATATATTGAAAAGGCTTAAAAATGAATACCTTGCAAGGAACCTGTTTTCACTCAATGGTAATGCAACAAATGGCAATGTTTAAAAGTCAGTGAAGTAAAAAGAATAGAAAGTTTTCCAAGGCCAGCTCTAGCTTTATATACAGCTGTTAACAAATTGTCCTAAGATGAAACTCCTAATTCACAAAAACTGTTGTTAAGACCATGAAAATACTTGAATTTGACTATTTTTAATTTAAAAATTATATCGTTAAGAACAGGAATGTGAGGATCAATCTCTTAATTTTCGAAGGAAAGTTATCAAGACCAAAGGAAATGCCCAAGATTAATCTCTTGGTTACCAAAGGGCTGGAGTACTCTAGGTTAACTTCTCGACAAGAGTACTTTAAAGCCAATCTCTTAATGCTTAGAGAATTTATATTCATAAGACGGGAATGAGGTTTCTCAAAACCAGTATCGTAATTCTAATGTACAATTTATCCTTCATACTTTATATCGATTTTTCTTTGTTTTTTCACTGGGAGAACATATGAATTGTAAGCATTAATTATGGAAATTTTTTAAGCTTACCTTGCCACTCTTGACATTTTCAGCACATTTAGCACCATACTGTGGCATTCCAAGAGATATCTCTAACCAGGAAAGTACAGTTGCAGCTTTCCATTTTTCCATGGGAGTTTCTTGGGCTTCCTCCAACAACTTTAGTTTCTCATTGTAGCTGTCCTCTGTCAATGGACTAACACAAAGACTACTTTGTGGCGACCATGATGACCTCTGACCCGCACTGCCACCTTGTGACAAACAAAATAATGATGATAATATATATTGCAACAGAGATTGGAATTACATGGCACTTGGTGAATAGGTTAGCTTCAATGAAATATTACTTTTACTGATACTAGAATTATTGCGATTATTTTCTATACTGCCACTTTTTCCAGTTGGACACCACATTATAATATATAAAATCTGGAAACTTTTCATGACAAAAATACTATAAGGCGTGTATCAGGGTTTTGAATTAATGGTTTGTAAATACACTTTGTAAACGATCAATGAAGTCATAATATTCAATAACTACTTGATCAGTTTTGTTTTCAATAAAAAGTTTAATAGCATAATCATGTTAAACAACTTTGAAAAATACTGAACTATATACTACACACATACCATCAAACAGGCTGGGATCTACCCCTTTACGGTGACGCCCTCTAGAAAAAATACGAGATATTGAGCCCCACGTTCCTTTTACATCCTTCCTCTTCCGGCTTTTCTTGCCAGTGCTAACGTCAGAGATCCCACTGCTGTTGACATATATTTCCTCGGCTGAGCGAGACAACCCAGAAAGACACGGTCGCTGTATACCCCTGGCAGAAGCAGTGGCTGGGAAAATAATCAGGAAAGATCTTACGGCAACACGAAATACAAAGAACATTACTACCGGTTATCCAACATTGAAGACTAGCTGTGTAGATCAGAACTAAAAGGTAACTCATAAATTAATGTAGCCAATTATACTTAGCAAGTTGACAAGAAACATAATTTCATAAATCAATACAAAAAAAAACCTAAAGCTAACTAAAACTAACGTTTACAAATGCATCATTTGGATACCCTCGCTAGTTTCGGTCGTAATCCCAATAGTAGGGATTTATTAAATTCTCATAACAGTGTCAAATAATATTCTTAAGAGTAATAAAAATAATTATAATAAATAATAATAATGTTCTAAAGTATTTTGAACATTATGGTCGACAATAAAAGGAAAAATAACTTTCAAGAAAAATGAAGTATGCCATTACTAAAAACACACACACATAAAAACCAGTTGTGTGCTCCTAAGAATCACAAAACTTACCAATATATGAAACCTAAATGTAGTTACAGGTGTACACATATTTGCAGTAATGCATATCAAACATCACAAACTGTTCCAAGACTAAAAATGCTAAACAACAAAACACTAGCCGCCTATATCAGAGGTTCTCAGCCCTTTCTCCTCATGTTTTTCTTCAAGGAGTTAAATCTTGCAAACCCACATACTCAAATAGAACTATCCAAGGAACCTGATCCTACAGTATATAAACGCAGCCGTGACAAATAAATATGCAAGTTAATTACTTTAACTGAAACATTATTTTCATTTAATCGAACACAGTACCCTTTATGTTTTTAAAACTATATTATGGAAACCCGATCTTCATCGACGTGGACCCATGTTTGTTTGTTTTTGTTGTATAGCAAAATTTGTTGCAGAAATTATGAAATTGTTTTTCCTGAACAAATTCGAATTTTGAAGCGAACTCAAACAGAAAATCATTGATCTTTAGTTAGATTCTTTTTGTAGAGATATGAAGAAATTACGCTACTTTTAAAATTTTTGTTCTACAGCGCAAAGCTGCAAAATCGGGAATCTGCGCTGTGTGAACCGCAGGGTTGGAACACCAATCTTTAACTTTATAAGATCTCAAATTTATCGTTGAGACACGGTGGTGGAGCTTTTTTGTTTTTAATAATATCTGAAGTACAGTGGTCTAAGTTTGCTTGTGAATAACACAGGTTTATAGAAGATCCACAGTTTTTCATGAATAGAACGGATATTTTAGATCAGTGGTTCTCCACCTTCTTATGCTCTAGTCAGATCTGTGAGCCAGTTACGTACCTCTAACATACATAACTTGTTAATAAAAAGGCAAATCAAAAGAAATAATTTAATGGTGAGTGAACAATACGCGAACGTAGGTTGAGCGCCGACTAGTGAAATACGTTGGTAACTCACCGAAATTGCCCTCCAGTTTTGAAAGATGTGATATATTTTCCTTATGATGTTTCTTATCACAGGTTAGTGACTACTTCAAGTGCACCCTCAATGGACCAGAGGCATTCAGGAAAGTTTAAGAATAAAAGTATTGTTGTTACGTTATTTAACATGTAATTCACTATGTTGACTAGACATTACGTAATTAATATTATCATTATGTATGCAACACGCAACTTACTGTTAACTAGACTACTTAATATCGTCATTACGTACCACGTAATTAACCTAGACAATACATAATAAACACTGTCATTACGTATATAACACCGAAGTTATGTTAACGAAAGCCTGATTAATTACTATTGTCATTATGCATGTAACACGTAATTTGTTATTAAATTTTAACTTGATAATGTGTTTAAGAATTTTCGTGGAAAGCTACACAAATGGCTATCTAAGCAAAACCGTTCTATACTGTGAACTGATAGACTACACCTAGTCCAACAGCACCCACTGACAACTGGTCGGCTACTCTTGTCTAACAGAATCGGCCACTCTTGTAGCGCACCCACGACCCCAATTGCGAAGCTCGTTTATGTGAAAACGGCCACGAATCATGAACCCTCGGATTCACAGTGCGAACACGCTAATCACTAGGCTCTGTTCGGTCCTGACTCGATGTTAGTCAATTAAGACCATTATTAAATATGTAACACATAACTTATTATTGTTAACTAGACAATACCTAATTAACAGCGTGTAAATAAGAATGTGACACATAATTTATTGTTGTTAACTAGACAATACCTAATTAACAGCGTGTAACTGAGAACGTGACACATAACTTATTATTGTTAACTAAACAATACCTAATTAACAGAGTGTAAATAAGAATGTGTCACATAATTTATTATTGTTAACTAGACAATACCTAATTAACAGCATGTAATTAAGAATGTAACACGTAACTTACAACATCAATTAGATGGCGCTTAACCGAGTTAGATTTCCATAGTTCACCTTTTGGATGTTTGTTTGTTCGTTTTTTAAGTTAAGCACAAAGCTACACAATGGGCTATCTGTGCTCTGCCCACCACGTGAATCGAAACCCGGATTCTAGTGTTGTAAGTCCGCAGACATACCGCTGGGAGCTCACCTTTTTGAATCACCTAAGTTTGGGTACGCTTCAAAATAACGATAGTTCCCCTTGGTGACTGACGTCACCACGTAAAATGAATGACTTTCAGGAGAGTAGTTGGGAATTTTGTGATAGGATATTTTCAAAACGATATACTTTAATCACTGTCATGTTTTGCCCACCAAAACTGAACTATTATTTAAAAGTTAAATCGTGTTTTTCTCACAGTAAGTTGTTTGTTATCAGCATATAGGCGTGGACTGGCCTAACGAGACACTGGTGAGCCCCCTTGGAAAAGTACGGAGTTTGTTATTTTTATGACAAACTTAGGGCCCCTTCTAGCTTTTTTACCGATGAAATTTTAGAGTACAGTCTGCCCCTGTCAGTATAAATGCTTGGCTATGAATCTCATTATAATTATTTGATTTTGATATTTTAAAGTCACACAAAAGGCATAATTGCTAAAAAAATCTAAGTAATCTACTGTAGACTATAATCATTATTTCCTTTTGTCAAATATCAAATTCTTCGTTCTTTATTTTTAAAACCTAGAAATTGAAGACACCTTCATAAGTTATATAAACTTTAAAAAGTACAAAAAGAAATTCCCTTATTCCATTTTTCCAAAACAATGTTTCCTGATAAGTATTTGATTTTGGGGACTTCAGGTGCATAAGGCTGACGTGTTGCAACAAATCAGAATGAGGAGTCGTTCGTTCATGCGTGATTTAAACGTTTCATGCTTCTTCTCCAAAAAGTAAAAATATGCGTAACCGGTATTTATTACAACTACTAAACCTTTGTATGGTATACCATTACAATTTCCTAAATATGTTTATAAAAACATTTGGCATATTTGATTTCACGTCACTTCCGCTCTCTCTCTCTCTTTTTGTCACTTTTGTTCTTATAAGTTATTAAAATTTCACTATCTTGTACAACAGTATGATCTTTGCAGCCGGAGCTTCACTTTATGAGTTGATTGTGTTGATATTGTTTTTACGTTCTTAATATATACAAATCAAGTGTCATACGAAATTCATGTATAGCTATAATATGAAAATTATAATATCATCTTTAACAAAATATGCAATGACATTGCAAGTCCAGCAAAAAACAAAAACTAAATGAAAACAATATTCATTGCATAGGTAATGTCGACCTAGTTTGATTAGAAGCCATATCTGATCTTTGAAGTTGTAATTCCAAAACTACTTACAGCAATAAAGAGAATTTGGGTCCTCATCATCCACTGTTATTGCTGGAGTCCCACCAAATAACGATAATGTCGGGTCGGATGCTGGAGTTAGTGTAGGAGTATTACAACTGTCCCGTTCACTTAGGGTCTGGACAGTGGAAGCCATGCTCGGGCTGTGGTAACCATTAGTACGAAAATGTCTGGTACTCTCAGCATCTGAAGCGTAGCCCATTCTATCTCGCAACTGTGAGAAATAACGTTAGAATTGTTATCAATATGTTAAATAACTGGAGCACAGGAGTAACGGCAAACGAGTGCACGAGCGAAAGTTAAATTTAACACCACAATTTCAGCAGAGAACGTTAGCATTAATCTGAAACGTTCAAGGTACAGAGGAAGTTAAGGCGTATCCTGAAGATTGATAACACTACACTACAGTAGAAAATACTGTTATAAAACTTTAAAACTTGTGTGAACTTGTAACGTTTATACGTAAGAGTTGATGTGGAAGATATGGAAGATAATGATATGCTTAATGTAAAAAACTCAGAATGAACGTTGAAGCCTTGGAAGAGAAGGCTAGGATTAACGTGAGAAACACAGAACAATGTGGAAGCCTTGGAAGAGAAGACCAGGATTAACGTGAGAAACTCAGAATGAACGTTGAAGCCTTGGAAGAGAAGGCTAGAATTAACGTGAGAAACTCAGAACAATGTGGAAGCCTTGGAAGAGAAGACCAGGATTAACGTGAGAAACTCAGAATGAATGTGGAAGCCTTGGAAGAGAATACCAGGATTAACGTGAAAAACTCAGAATGAATGTGGAAGTTTTGGAAGAGATGGCTGGAGGTTGACGTATAGGGTTTTAAAATATATTTCATGTTAATATAAAATTCAGTAAAAAAATTGAGCTTCAAATATTTACTAAAACAACAAAATAAACATATTAATACTGCATCGAATTATTACAGAATGAGATTAATTCAACATCGAATTATTACAGAATGAGATTAATTCAACATCGAATTATTACAGAATGAGATTAATTCAACATCGAATTATTACAGAATGAGATTAATTCAACATCGAATTATTACACAATGAGATTAATTCAACATCGAATTATTACAGAATGGGATTAATTCAACATCGAATTATTACAGAATGAGATTAAGTCAACATCGAATTATTACAGAATGAGATTAATTCAACATCGAATTATTACAGAATGGGATTAATTCAACATTCAAACCAAACTGGAGGTGTAGCACAAAACTTTATAATCACCAACTTCAAAACAACTCTCATGCGTCTACTTTTCGTTACTTCACTTTGACTGGACTTGAGCATATGCCGTATTCATTAAAGGATCATGCAAACAAGAAACACAATACTATAAAATCAGATGGTGGTATTCAACACTGTTAAAATATTTTGAGTTTTTAAAAATCCAACTCACTGATTTCAGCTCTTCCTGAAGCTGCCTAATTTGGGCATCCTTTAAGCCTATCTGTGCACACAGAGCAACTGAGCGTTCAGCTTCATCTCGGGCATGCTTTAAGATATTCCACTTTTCTCGTTCACTTTCTTCCCTCGTGCGTACCAGCTGTGAAAGAAAAAGTCTTACGAGTTCAACATACACTGTTAAGAAACTATGTCGATATCATGGATTCATTTATTCTTTATTCGTACATTCTACTTACTTAATATTGAAAATCAGGAGTCTTCAAAATAATCGCACACGTAAGTTCCCTAATAATACATTGTCAAGAATCACGAAAAGGACAGACAAAAAATATAACCATACAACTAACATTTCAAGTTGTTTCAGCCTTTCATAGCAAACTCATAATAACAAAGTCTTTCTGAAGTAGGAGAAATAACTTCAATTATAAATGTATGATACTTTCAAACTTCTGTATTTTATTTTACAAAAATATTAAAAACGTTTTTCAGTGGGTAATTTTTCATCTACATAACAGCCACTTGTGGTTCTAAAACTCACCTGTTTTAAACTTTCATCACTTTCTTTCATTCTCTGTTCGTAGTTGCGAATAAAATCCCTCAATTCTTGCTCTTTGTCTTCCAAGGTCCCGTACAGCTGTTTCATTTGATTCAATAGGTCAAACTTCTCTGCCTTCAGTCTCTTACGGTCTTCTTTTAGAGCTGAATGTTCATACAGATAATTCAATACTAATTTTTATGGTATTATATATATATTCTTTATTTTCACATTTATGTATAGATAGATAATTATATTTCATCTAAGATCTTCATACTGAATATTTGGTTCTTTTGTATGGATTGCTATCAATAATTTCTTATACCAACATCTATTGTCAGTGTTTGTAATATAAATACTTATGGTGTGGAATTTTTCAAAAACGACTTCTTAGCCAAAGGAATAAATGCTAGAAAAATCTACTTGTCCTTCTAAACATATACTTTCCCTTTATCTTACTTACATTGGATTCTTAATGTTAAAAACATTATAATACTAAAAAGTAATACACAATAATCTCCTCCCACAGTTTAAGTCCGATTTGGATGAAACTTCGTATGATTTTTTCCTAACAAAGTTGCATTACAATTCGGTAACTTATAAAAAAAAAGTTTATTTAGTGCATGTATTAACTTTTTTAAAAGTAATAATTCAATAACAGCATCATATCACACCAAAATAAAAAAAAATGTTATAAAATAGACCCTCGCTAGAATTTAGAAAATAAAAGGACCTTATTTTATAAACATTTTTACCCTAAATACCCTAAACCCTTAATGGAGAAATGGTACTTCTCTCCTTTTTAATAATGTACATTTATTGTTATCAACAAAATTAATTTTTTAAATAAAACTTCTAAAATTGTGGTAAAGTGAGTTTAATACAGAATTTCAGAGTGAGTTTTCCTAGTGGAGAATCATTGTGATATTTCAGAAGAAAATTGACTTTTTCTGCTAGAGAATCCAAGTGTACGCTATGAATTGAATTATTTTGCGACCGAAGGAATCGCAAGTCCTTCGTACTGAGTTCGTTGCATATATATTTGCAGGAATTTTGTAGTAACTCGATCTTCTTAAGTTACATAAGTTTTGTTTTTTTTATATTTCAGTACGAGTATAAAGGGATCAAAATCATCGAAAATCACGGAAAAAGGATGCAAGTTAAATAAAGAAAGAGTAAGAAAGGGATAGGCTTGCTCACCAAGTTATAAGGCAAGATCCAGCGAGAAGAAGCCCGGAACAAACCCGAAATACAGAAGCATATCAGATTGCTCGCCAAGATACAGTTAGAAGAAGTCGGGAGCAATATACCGAACAATCGCCCGTATCTGATTTCATATATGATCTTTAATTTCTCTCTAAAGCATGGTATAACAGTGACTTTTTGTTCACCTTTAAAGTAGTGTCCTTTAAAAATCAAAATAACTAATGATAATAAATAAATAATGCTAGTTAACAATAATAAGGTACAAAGTAAAAGTTGGTTTGCCGTCTTGTGATCGGTGGTTTTTGAAAATTGGATCAGATTCTGTGGTGAGTGATATAAATGTGTTGTCGAAGCATGATGAACTATATAAATAATCCCACCTGAAAGAGCTTCCTTGGAGTGTTGAAGTTCAGTTTCTAATCGTTGAATCTGAGGCCGAAACTCGTCTTCTTGTGCATGGGCATTTTCTTTATAGCCTCGCAACTCTTCTAGCTCCCTTTGGAGAGATCGGTTCTGTTGGCTGAGCTTAAAGTTGAATTCTTCTTGTTGGCAGAGTCGTTCTTTAAACTGATTGATATCCTCGTATGTACATTCTGTGGTTTCCAAGTAATAGAAATGAAACTTCTGTTTAATACCTTAAAAACATTTCAAACAATACATGTAAATTATTTAATGAACTAGTATAAAAGCTCGTCAAAAATGACTGGAAATCATTGTTGAATGATAAACGAAAATTATAAAACTTAACTAAAATGAATTTGTCTGTATCTCCAAAATGCACCTACTCTTCACTTATTTCATCAGTCTCGAAGTAATTCTTTAATCACCACATTTTTAGTAAAAACTACGCAGAAAAACGAAATGTTGTCGTAAACAAAAGTACGTGTGCACTCTGAAAGAGACTTAAATAGCTCTCTTGAGCCTTTTCACTGTATTCTAGATCAGGAAGTAGAAAACATAATGCGGACATTCCGACACAAATTTTGTATTCATTCGACTGTACAAAGTATAAAATATATTTGGTAGTGGTAATAAACGTTTAATTTTTCTTTATGTTTAAGGCCAAGTATATAATATATGTGTTAAAATACCAACAAATATTTATTAATTAACATTTATTCACCACCTAAAACTTTTTAAACACTGACTATAACGTTAGTAATAGTAGGCCTATTTGTAGTATAAATTAAGCAATCAATGCTGTTAAGATAATCAATGCAATACTATTTGGAACATTTCTACAATAGCGTATATTTCGACTTTTCGACACCATTGTTGAAATATTTTCGACGTTAAGAAAAATTCATCATAAAATCTTGTGAACTATATAAATCTTTTCCTCCCAGTTGCGTGAAATACCACGTGAATATCTCATAGGTTGATGATAACAAAGATTTTTCAATGATTTCTAATTATTACATAATACTATTGTTTAAATACATCCAAGTACAACAAGGTACTATAATATACAAGACACAGTCGTTCTACTGTACAAACACACGTCTAATAAATGATTCCTGTTTAAATTGCTTCACGATCCACAATTTCCGACTGTCACAAGGCACCAACGTTTGGATATGCACAACTGGGAAAATACGCCTGAGCAACTACCAAATTATAAATAAAAATACATCTTCTTAACATCATTTATACTTTAAATAACTATAAAATCAGATACAGATTATTTGGACAGAACAACTGGATATGCAGCTTTTGTGAATAACTGAAAAAGGTCACCACATAAACACCTCCTAATAATAAATAAGTCTTTGATGTAGATATTTTTATAGCTAAATATATTAAAAGATCAATTATTTCCATTACTGCAGAACTCTTAAGAGTAAATATTTTATAGCTCTGTAACAATAGCAAGTAAACATGTCCTGCCATCGCACAATATCTTATTGTCTATACTATTGCACAATTCTTATGTGAATATTGTATTGCTCTATTACATGAATAAATATTTCTTTTGTTGTGCAACTCGAGAGTGAAAATTATCATATTTATATATTTTAGTTTATCATGTTGATTCCGAATCTGCTATGAAATCTTTAAGAGAAAAATAACAACTATTTCACCAACTACAATTAAACTTTGTTTTCAAAACTACTTTAATCCTAAAAAATATTATCTTACGAGGTTTCTTTTGGAACCAATGGATGTAAACCTTCCAACCAATATCGGTATCATCATTAATTAATCGTTCTAATAATCTGGAGATATTCAAAATGCTGATGAAGCAAGTTCCGAGTCTAAAGGAGTTTTTTTAATAACCGTTAACACAGTTCAAGCGCATGCGCTGTGGAATTCCATTAAAACGGTCCAGGCATCTGATATGAGAAAACAATGAAGACGAGCTCTTTTGATTTTTACGAAATAAAATATGGGTGATATTTAAAACTATTTTGTGTCTTGCGATATCTCAAAAGCCTGCTGATAATATTCAGTTGTAGGACCGAGATAATCTAACATTCAAATGAAAGATTCCTAAAACTCACTTTTAATGTGAACATTATTTTATAAAAATACGTTGTAATAGATTCTAAAGGACGAAAGAAATATCGATTTTTCAAAAATACCTCTTTTTCCAGGATTCGTATTCAATGTTGAATTTTGTTTTGTTTGCAGATATTTTTTTCCAGTTTCTATGATAAAAATAACTAGCAAACTCAACTATTTTACCTTACAATTGTACATAAACTTTAATCTGAATTTTACATTTGTTTTCTACTTTAGAAGAAACGTGACAGACTACATTCTCCTCCGGCAGCTTAATGGTAATCTTGAAGTTTTATCACTCTACAAATCAAGGTTCGATACCCGCACTGGACACAGCTCAGATAGCACTGTGTAACTCATCCCTATAAAATAGATTATGTTTACGGTACAGAATTGAGAAAAATTAATTTTAAACTAAATATAATTTTCATTTGCTTTAAAAAATCATAAAGTTTCATTCAAAATAAGTAATACTGCCATTAATTTAAACTAACAGGGAAACCTTGTTGAACGAAACTTTGTTAATAATAATACTAATGTTAATAATTGTTGTTCACCATAAAAAAAACACCAATTTAAAATCACTACTACACCTGATCAATTTCCTTATCAATATGTTTGTCTACATGTCTTAGGGTCTTATCTAATCATCAATAACTGACCTTAGAGACACCATTTTAGACTGAAGAGCGAGAACTGTGCTAATACTGGTTAAAGTATTAGCTTGAATGCATATTGTGTGTTCGTATGTTTTTCTTCTTTCACTACTTCCAGTTATTTCTTCAAAAAGAAAAAAAAGAGCAATTATCAACTACAACTTTCACGTGAAATTCTTTTTATTCTGAATTGAGAGCCGGGAGGACCAGGCTGATGATCAGAGAGTCGAAGGTTCAAGCCATGATATACTGTTGATGATGCTCCGCATTTGCAGCTGTGTGGGTGTTATAAATGTCATATATTTGGTTAATAGAATCTGCGAGTACTTCTGACTGGTTGCTCTCCCTCTGGTTGGCAGTTCTAAATTAGGGGGTCTGACCTGGGTATTCAGGTTGAGAATATGAAATTCCTGATTGAGCATTAACAAATTTCTTTTCTATGTGGTTTGCCGCTAGCTTGCTTCATTAAAAAGATGCGTGTCTGTCTGTGATTTCTATTTCTAATATAAGGAACCACTTCTTTTCCATGTGGTTTCTCGCTATATTGCCTCACTAAAAAGATGCGCCTGCGCACGAACGCGAATAAATAATAATACCCAGGTGCACACGCTCAGGGTGCAAAATTTTAGTTTTTTATGATTCTTTCCTCTTGGAGATATGGTGAGCACATTTCTTTTCCATGTGGTTTTTCGCATAAAACGATGCGAACGCTCATGCACTTAGATAAGTAATAATACCCAGGTGCAAACCCTCAGGGTTCACTTAGTATAGGTGCAAAATTTCATGTTTCTAGGTTTGTTTCTTTTGGGGCTATGGTAGTCACACAGGCACGCACGCACGTGGGAGTCTGTCTATTTGTCTGTAATTTATATTTTTATTATAAAGAATCACTTCTTTCTATGTGGTTCTTCGCTAGCTTACCTCAGTAAAAAGATGCGCCTGCACGCATGCCCATGGATAAGATAAGCAATAGTACCCAGGTACACACCCTCAGGGTACACTTAGAATGGGTGCAAAATAAAATTCAGGTTTCTAGGTTCTTTTTCTCTTGGAGCTATGGTGGTCACATTTCTTTTCTATGTGTTTTTCGCATAAAAACATGCGAGTGCGCATGCATGCATGCATGTAAATAAGTAATAATACCCAGGTGCACACCCTCGGGGCTCACTTAGAATGAGTGCAAAATTTCAGGTTTCTAGGTTCTTTCCTCTTGAAGTTATGGCGGTCACACACACACACACACAGCCACAGATACGCCCTTTTATTATTATAGATAAAGATTTATTGAAGCTTTTTCTTTGACTTATAACTTTAGTGACAACATATAAATCAACACGGCTTTGGCAGTTTTTCTCTTCTTTTCTTTTAACAATGAAAGGATAAAAATGTTATCTCTTATTATTGATTATCTACTGATACAAAAATAGAAATGCCGTTGTTGTGGCTGAACTACCGACGTGTCAGCATCATGCTGACAATATTAACTCTTATCTAAAGTGTAGAATCAAACCAAAAAGTTAAATAACCCATTAATCCTACACATTAAGTAGATATAACACTGTCTGGTAATAGTGGTAACGGTAATAAAGGTAGCACGAATAATGGCTGTGGTAGTAATTGTAACGATAATAATGGTATCAAGAATAATGGATGCGTTAGTAATGGCAACGGTAATAAAGGTATCAAGAATTATAGCTGCGGTAATAATGGTATCAAAAATACTGACTGTGGTAGTAATGGTACCAAGAATAATGGCTGTGGTGGTAATGATAACGGTAATAGTGATAACGGAATAATGGTATCAAGAATAATGGCTGTGGTAGTAATGGAAACGGTAATAATGGTATCAAGAATAATGGCTGAGGTGGTAATGGTAATAAAGATAGTATCAAGAATAATGGCTGTAATGGTAATGATGGTCGTACCAAGAATAATGACTACTCTAATATAGGTACCAATAAAAACGGCACCAGTGGTAATCTAAAGTGGGGAAACACTTTTATTAGATCAACGTAAAAATTATAAACAGATCAACGTCAAAATTAAAAACATGCAATTTTTGTTTATCTGATTCCATTCTGGGGAGAAAATATGCTGTTTTAGTAAGTCATTCTTTTCCACTTTGCATTACTACTGTTGTCATTTGAACGGAGAATTATTACTATTCGTATATGACATAGCAAGGGACTCATTAAGCCTACCTTTCACAGCCAATATCACGTGCTCCTTAGCATTGCTATATTTCTAGAACCACCTCGTTTTGCTATTAAGTTCACGCTATATTTTCGTACAATCAATCTCCATAAACTCTACTAAGTCAAAAGGCACTGACATTCATTGTAACATTAACTACATTATGACGATTTGAAATCCACTAGCTGATATTAAGCAGATACTTCCAAATTAGAAAACATAGTGGGTGACGTTTGAAAATATTGTTAGAGGCGGGGGTACCAACTGATGATATTTAATTAACT